GCCCTGGCCCCAGGGGTTGGGGTAGGAATCCCAATTTTACAATTTTGAAGCCTCATCTACCAAGGATGATTCTGACCAAGTTTGAAAAAAATCCATCCACTGGTTCTTGAGAAGAAGTTGAAAATGTAAAAGTTTACGCACGACGCACGACGGACGACGGACGACGACGGACGAAAAGCGATTAGAATAGGTCACTTGAGCAAAGCTCAGGTGACCTAAAAACATAGGTTTCAAAAAGGAGCTATAGTGAACCAGACTGTGACAGACATCACCAACTCTGTTACATACAGTGACCCAGATTTTCACATGGACTAAGACCTACATTGTGACCCAGATGATGACCTACATTGTGACCTAGATGGTGACCTACATTGTGACCCAGATGGTGACCTATATTGCGACCCAGATGATGACCTACACTGTGACCTGGATGGTGACCTACAGTGTAACCAAGACAGTGACCCAGACGGTGACCTACATTGTGACCCAGATGGTGACCTATATTGTGACCCAGGTGATTACCTACATTGTGACGCAGATGGTAATCTACATTGTGACCAATATGGTGACCTACATTCTGACCCAGATGGTGACCTAGAAGGTCTAAGTAAAAGAATTACTCATACAGTACTAGAAAATGTATTTAGTGTTTTTCATTTGTTGAACCAAGTATAAGCAGCCTCAGATCACACACAGCACACTAACTGGCAAACTAAGGCTAAAAGTATACGGAAAGTTAAACATTAAGTGATTATAATATGAAAGCGTACAATTCAAATAATGCTGACCAAGCAAAAGTACCCACATTTCTAAAATCACTCGCATAGAAAACTTTAGTAAGATATATAGTTTCTGGATTACAACTGATATATGTTTAAAGCATACCTCTATATCAACCTTGTTACACCTGTACCACAAGCTGTATAATTCACCATCATAAAACATCTTATACAGGCTTAAGATACCTATTGCTGAATTACAACCAGTTCACCTTCTTTTTAAGGATCCCTGTCCCTCTGTAGGAAACTAGAGAACTCCACTGTAGTTTTTTTCCCGTAAACTCAGTAACCTCCCCTTAATTGTATTTTTGGATATAACTAGCACTTATACAATTAACAGCCGGTTCTACCATTGACCATATGTAGCTCAATTTGTTAGAATGATATCAAGGTTATTGTGGGTTCAGGGTTCAAATCCGGGTCTAGATCTGGTGACTGTTGCATTTTTCTACCCAGAACACTGTCCTTGATCTTGTTTGGGTTTTTTTCATTTCTATTGTTATTTTTCATAAAACTTCCACTAGATATAGCTTTATTTCTAGAAATTATCTACCAAAGTTATAGTTATGACGTAAAACAGTTTCTAATGCGTTTTGACAGTTTTTGGCAGTGGTACGGGGATCCTTAAACTTTATTACAGATTTTGGCAGTGGTACGGGGATCCTTAACAATAATGTTTTATGGTTGAGTGAACGTAGAATTCCCTTAGTACCCAGTACAAGTGAAGATATCACTCTGTAGAGAAATTCAATGCTATCAGCAACTTAAATTTCAATTCCGGGAAATGAACTTCTTGTTCGGCAGATAAGACACTCCATCGCAACTAAATCTAATTCCGAGTGTAGCCTAGCAAGAGAAGCATCATGTTTGACAAATGACTGGCTTCAGTACTATTACAGATAGCCAAACAACTACGGAATACTTGATTTCTAATAGAAATATGATAGAACATATAATGGCTTATATCAGTATTGATTCATATCAGATATCTTGCTCATATGCTTAATGATTAAACATTATGTGTTACGAAAATGTATTGAATAGTAAATGAATTTATAATGGGAAACATAAATATTCTCAATTCCCTGTTTTACTCTGAGACTTTTGCACTATGGCTCCATCCCATTTATTGTTGTGCGTATGTTTAACCTCCTCGCTGATCAATTTGTGTCTACCTAGCAAAGAGTAAGTGTTCGGTGATCAAGCAACTCACCATTGTAATACAGCTTCCAGACTTCTTAAAATGAAAGTCAACAATACACATCTATAAATCAGTAAACATCAATAGTCCCACACTATTAACTCATTCACCCCTGAAGTTTCATAATGAACTATTCCAACTTTTGAATTGGAAGAGTTCAAATGTGTCTTCAGGGTGAATGAGTTAAATAAGTACAATAAAGTTTGATTTTGGTGTAAACATGTATCTTGTTTTAGCAATATTTAAATGCACCAGTGTTATGAGCTTTTGAAATGATTCAGCAACAATTTCACTTCAGTAATAACTGATATTTCAACATTACCTTTTCTGGTATTTCAGTAAAAAAAGATGTTTCATTATCGTTAGAGTGGCATACAGTGCAAAGATATTGTCCAAAACAACTTATCACATCAACCTTTACATGGAATAGTCATATCGGGCAATTGCATTTTCTTTTCAGTTAAGCATTAGGTATGTTGAGTCAGCTGGCAAAAAACATAGAGACATTTCACCCAATTGTACTCTAGCTAATACTGTGGGCAGTCAGGGGGACGGGTAACATGTTTACCCATTCCGTCCCTTAGTGGATGTTAAAATGGGCTCATACTCTTGTTCTGTTTATCTGACCTTACTTTGGTTCTATTAATATATATGATGTCCTGGGTATGTTTTACTTTACTCCAAATCAATGATGGACCTACACGATATCACCAGTGATATGGTATAATTTTAGTAAGACCTATAACTATTGATGTTGTTGATGACCATTGACCAGGCAAACTTATGCCAGCTTGCTTAGGCAGTTACAGTAATAAATGCTTACTGATATATCACCAGGGACACTAAATGTACAGAAGTTCTAACCCCTGGAGGAGCAAATAGTGACAAACCACTTCTGGTCAGTATTACTTGACAATTGTCAATAACCAGCCAATGTCCTATTGATTTCAGATGCGTATTCCGGGCCAGTGGTAATGTCTAAAGAATGACTGACCAGCCAGGGCTGTTAGCTGACAAAGATGACCAGTGGTTATATGTCACCAATCAGGGCTGTTAGCCACAAATGACCAGTGGTAATGTCACCAATCAGGGCTGTTATCCACAGATGACCAGTGGTAATGTCACCAATCAGGGCTGTTAGCCATATATGACCAGTGGGAATGTCTAAAGAATGAATGGCCAGTCAGGGCTGTTATCCGCCGGTGGCCCGTGGTGATGTCTCCAATCAGGGCTGTTAACCACACCTGTGGTACTGTTCAAAGGATGGCTGACCAGTCAGGACTGTTAGCCACAGATCACCAGTGGTAATGTCACCAATCAGGGCTGTTAGCCACAGATGACCAGTAGTAATGTCACCAATCAGGGCTGTTAACCACACCAGTGGTACTGTTCAAAGGATGGCTGACCAATCAGGGCTGTTAGCCATATATGACCAGTGGTAATGTCTAAAGAATGACTGGCCAGTCAGGGCTGTTAGCTGACAGAGATGACCATTGGTAATGTTTAAAGGATGGCTGACCAGTCAGGGCTGCTAAACCACAGATGACCAGTGGTAATATCTAAAGGATGGCTGACCAGTCAGGACTGTTAGCCACAGATGACCAGTGGTAATATCTAAAGGATGGCTGACCAGTCAGGGCTGTTAGCCACAGATGACCAGTGGTAATGCCTTAACTATGACTAAGTAAGTCTGTTACATTCTGAGAGAATAGGAGTCCTATAACGTTCTTTCAGGTCTTTCCCCAGTTTTGGTGACGATTGACGCAAATTTAAAAACCCATTATTATACTTGTTAATTTCTCAGGTCCTGACAATTCATTTGACGTTCAAGTCAGCCAGTTAACAGATCTCCATTTTTTTCCTGCTCATCTACTTGAAAATGAAGAACCAACTAGCTTTACAGAAATTAAGAGAGGGCGATTTTCTGTCTGATCCATTTTTTGCTGTATACTATAACCTTGTAAAACTATGAAACCCACATACTTCAAAGATAAGTGGTTATGTTGATACAAAATCAAACACCACCGACCTCAATTGTGATGTTGGCCGATATAAACTGGGGCAACAAAAAGTAAATACCACTCAACCACAAAGCTGTTTTTTTTTTATTGAAAGTAGATGTTCTAAACAAGTATAAAACTGTTTCTTTAAATTGTCTCAAGGGGTTTAAGATTTACGGAAGTGATACCCAGAGGTTTGTACCAGGTTACGTTGTATAAAGTAAGATGTTGTTCAAGGATAAACTATGTATTAGGGAAGATCAAACATTGTAAGTATCAGAACGCTGAAAATGTAGATGTCTAAAGAAGTCCAGAGAAGTCCCATCTAGAGTTACCTACCTTTGGTCCTTTCTGGTGGAGGGACACTCCTCTGAACCAACCTGTAATGATAATAAATAACCAAGGTTAAAGGTCATAGAAGTTTTCAGAACTACGTATTTATGTTTGCTCTATGTTGTAATCATATAAACCTACCATGGTAAATTGTGTGTTACGAGATCATAACTTTGGCAATCGATGGTCGTGATGTCATTATAATATTGTGACATCACCATCGTAATATTGGAGGTAGTCAATAACATGTTGGTTGTTCCATTTACGGAAGATATACCTCAAATCAGAAGAACACTAAATTTAAGAACCAATTGATTGCCAACGAAATCATCACAAAGACTGTTATTAGAGTGGTCGCAATCCTTTTCTAAATTATACAACTATAATTTTGAACCGAATACAGCTTAATATTACAGGCTACAATAAATTAAGCAGATAAAGAGGTCATGTAAGTTAAGAAATATATATCACAACTGTACTAGAAAAGACGAGATACATGTAAGTATGTACACAAAGCACTTCTTGTTGGACATAATAGTGTTACAAATATCAAACGTTTACAACTAAATCTTGATTAATAGAAAGCATCACGTAAAAGTTCAATATCGTATACTGAGGAATTATATTTTCTGTCTACATCATACGGGAGACTGTAGTGATAGATTCTTTATCTTCCGCACTTAACTACGATAAAAATAAATTGTAATAATGAACCCAGTGAACCACGCCATCATGTACGGCACATTATGTGCAACAAAATTGACGACGTTACCCTGATTACGTGGCGTAAAGTGATGATGCAATAGTGACCTTTACAGAAGTGTGGGAGGTGTTCTTTACACGGATAGGTAAAGACAGATTTATCTAGCAAAGATGGGAATGTTCCCGTACAGTATTGGAGAAATAAATATCTTCACTGTCTGTTCACCTTAGACATCCGGACTGTCTGACGAGTCTTTGTTTTTATGTGTTTGCCATTATTGGTAACACGGCTATTGTGGCTAATGCATAATGACACAAAATCGAAAATGATAAATAGTACCTATCACTCCAGTGTGATGCAGACAGAGAAAAACTCAACTCAAGGGTAAGATTTTTGAAGTTTAGAATGAGGCTTTGCCAAGTGCTAACTTCAAAATTCCTGTCCGGTGGGTTGAGTATTCTCCGTCTGCATTACACAGAAGTAATTGATTATTTTTCTCCTAGGCTTTCTTATCATAAAAATCAAGTTATAATGGTGAACCAAATGCACCGCACCATCAAGGGCACGTGAACGGTGTGACAAAATTGATAACACAATCCTACTTATGCTGCATAAAAAGCTGACGCATATTCAGGATTAGATTGTGTCTTTCCCAAGGTGGGAGAAACATGGATCAATGAATTGATCTTATGACTTCAAAAGTCTGTGGTCAAGCATCAAAGAAGGAACTAGAACTCAGTAAGGTCGGCATTGGCCCCACAATGTGCTTGACCATTTCTATCTCCCATAATCATTGAGCCGACGCCACATTGATCATCTTGGATACTGGAATATGGGAGAGATGGTATTACACACATGTAATCCAACAAGTACTATTTACCACCAAGTATTTACAAAGCCAGACAAACGGAACGAAAGTCCAAGAGGTCTCGGCCAATCAGAAGTCAGTGTGGCCATCTTGGATTTTGGGATCCAAGTTATATGCCCTTAACACTATGTAGACCATCCACTAAGGGTCATTAACTACAAATTATACCAACAGAATAGAAACTAAAGTCATATATGTCTCATGAGCAATATAATGCATCTTTAACAGTATACCCCCGTTCTAACTTTAGTCACAGTGACCTTGACCTTAGGAACTTGTTAAATAAACTGAAATTTCAGATATTTGAGACCCCTGGATTCTGAAATAAACTCTAGAAACGAAAATTTGAACAGAAAAATTAACAGTGATCACATGGATCAATTAATTGTGATTAATTCAAACAAGTTAAAATAACAGCTGCTTCATTATTTTAACGATTAAATATTGAAAAAGCTAAGAAGATCAGCACGGCAAGAAGGATGGGACATGTTAACTTTATGATAGCATCTGTTGAGGTCTAAATGACTAGTTCGAGTGTCCTCATCCCTGCATCACGCTAGACATATCTAAGACAATGGGAGGCTGGGGACATGTAACCTAGCATTAGTGGGATATATCTGGTATTAATATATATAGCCTGGTTCTATTAACATGCAATCCTCTGCCACAATGTACTGTAACCTTGTGTGTAGTAGATATCGTTCTCCAGCGATCTGTCTTAACTATCACGGCCCTAAGTGGATTGTCTTCGACCAAGATAGGGAAAATGCATGGGGACACCAGGATTCAGACCTGGAACCTCCAAACTCTAGATGAATGCTTGGAACTAATTGAGCTACCTAGTTGACGGCTATCACCCCAGTCTCGCTTCTCTACATAAGTATATACACATAGAGTCTATCTTACATACTCATCAATATACAAATATATATGTAAATGTTGTAATTCAATCATTCATGCAAACAATCTTTCGTTATCATTATGGAAATCAAAACAACCAAAATAGTCGTTCATTTTCTGTGTATATTACTTCCCTATAATGATTCTACTTTTTATGGATATAAATGATTTTTGATAAAGAACGCATTTCTTTATGCAAATCAGTACACAAATTCATATTTTCTTGTTCAGCCCCCGTATTTTCTTTCATATATATACGATGCGAGTGCTAGCATTTCACCAATTGTTTTGTCTATGATGCCACATTCAATCTTCTTGCAACAGAACACATATGTTATGCTAACTCAAGTTTATAGTAAGTCATGCTTTTGTTTCCTATCAAGGAATCATATGAATAACACCAAACTTTATAAAAAAAACTTTGGCAACAGTAATATTAATTGCTAGGTCCCCTGCCCTGGGGTTTGTTATAAAGAAATTTCAATAAACTATATATTTGACCAAATAAGAACCCCACCCCTTCGAAGTATCCCTATCTGTTTTCTGATCCAAGTATCCTATCCCTTTGTTTTAAGTGTCAGAATTAGCTTGAAAGAAAGTGTCTATCATTGGTATTTAATTTTGGAAGTCCTGCAATCATTCTAATTTTCCAAAACTGCTAAGTGCAGTGGACACTTATTAGGTCGAAACCGGTAACGGTACAGTTATCATACAAATGTGTGCTCTACCAATTTGTAACCAGGTATTTTTCTTTCATCAGTGCACGTGGTACACTGTTAACCTGGGAAGTGTTGGAATGTCACAGTAAATAGCATCCCATTTAACTTTCTCTTCACTGCCCCAAACTCCCAATGCTATTGACTACACTGGTGAAGTATTGCCCTTTCACCACCTACAAACCAAACATTAATTGTGAAACTGCTCATGGTACAACAGGTCCACACCGTAGATATTACTCCCGACAGTTCCACCTACCCCGACTGGGATGGGGAATCAATACTGCCCTAGCTATACTACCTGCCTTATTTTTAACTCACTTTTTTCTCCATTAATACCTAACTTCTGGTTTATAGGTCAAAACCAATCCCGTAGTAATTACAACGCCAGCAAGATAAAGCTTTCCCTACAATCACCGACTCCATTATTCACCAGTTCTTGACATCATTATTTCTCTTTAAGAAATTCATTTTGATAATATTGTAACAAACAAATGCACTTGCTACAGTTAATACTGTTGATCAATTTAGAAATGTTTCTTCAAAGGAGCTTAGAATGTGCCCTTCAAAACCAGCATGAGGATGAGATAATTTTTGTATCTCTGAACATGTAAAATATTACCTAATGACATGACATGTATATAGAACCTTACCTACACTTGTATTGATTATTGCTTAAACTCTAAATGCCACATATCAAGGTGAACCTGGAGATATTCAGGAGCCAGTTTTCAAAGCTTGACAAGCTTAACCAGACATCACCTTAAGTTTTCAAATCAATATTATAAAGAAATAACTGAAATTTAGTAAACGTTTTTTTGTTTTTCCCTTTCAGATGATGATTTTGATCCGATTTACAATCAATGACTGTTCATAATGAAGTAGTATTTTTAAAAATTAAGTACATGAAAGTTTGGCGTTAATTTGTGGTTAAGTTTATCAGACTTCGAACAGATGGCTTGTGATTATATATTTACACAAATGATGAAATAGCAGGTAATAATTCACAAACAAAATCTCGTAGGTGTATTCCAAATATATTTTTCAGATTATAGAAAGAATGGGTGTCTATAAAAGATTGATTTGCATATTTCATATGAAAAAATCCTTTGTTTAGAAAGATATTCCAAGAAATTAAAACTTTTCCTGTGGTCGAAAAAACCTAAAACACACCTTCTGTTGTATTCCTGTATATAAAATGGGATATCTGCTTACAAGGAAGGCACACACTTGTTAATCAAAATTGGATTAGGTAGAACAGTCTGCTTACTTTTTTGTATTTAATCAATATTTTAAGGAGACTGAATCATTTAATGATTTACCCAATTCCTTGGTATGACCCCTCCAAACCAACTCTGGAACAAATGACCAAGGTATTGACTAATCATTTTAAGAAAAGAAGTTTCAGATATCCGGGGACCCAAACAATTTCCTCATAGCACCAGACTTTTAACAACCTTTTAATTAACATTGGTTGAAACTTGGTTACATATTCCTATTGTTGCAAGGCTTCATATATTTTAAAATACACAATTTATTTATTTTACAACAATTATGAATCAAGTTATATCAACTTGTATTAATCTCTCTTGTCGGCCCAGATGGTAGCATGCAGGAAACCTTGACGTGTGAGAAAAGTTGAGTACCAGGAGTATACCCATGTGGGCAGGCAGACGACCCCATACCTTTTAATGTCTGATCCGGGAATCAAACCCCGGCTGTCTTGGTTAAAGCTGAACGTGCTATCCACTGCGCCACTCGATCGTTATATCAAATAACTCCTTTCTGTTTGCAATCCACATAAACTAAAATACAATTGGCTTTTGTTTTCACAATTGAACCATGCCAATAATATTAAGT